TTTCTTCACCAATCTTGACAAGGTATGGATCAATTGAGTGTATATGTAGGCTTGCACAGACTCAAAATAATCAAGCCGTTTTTTTTTCCCACTATCTGAAAAGACTTGAACCCATCCCCTTCGTCTGCTGTGGTTTTATCTCGAATGGGTAGTCTCTCTGTGTTTGTATGTAGGTTTTCTAACAAAATATTTCAATATACCACCGTGAAGGAGGTGGGTCATGATATCGTATCTTGATGTCTTGACTCGCACAACAAAGCACGGTGCCTGGCGAGGAAGACAAGCGGAAACGAACACGAGCCTCGCACTTCGTGTAGCACTTTCCTTCTTCGTAAGGTCAAATCGACTGAACCGATTTCCTCAGGCACAGAGGTAGTGGGTGGTAGACCATCCTCTTTCTTTTCAGAAAAAAAGTCTCACGCGATATTGGAAAGAATATGAATGCGTAAATGTGACTGCCAAATGCTGCGTGTTTGTTGGGTGCTCTGGGAACAGCAGTCTGTATCGTTCCTTCAAATCCCTTCCGGATCTACCTGAAGAGTTCAACATGCTCGAAAATCGTGTACGAAGTGGCACCCGGCGCATCAAAAACCGATTATCTAAATTGTCAATACCTACAGCCAGTGCCGTCGTGGGTGTTGTGCGAGACGTGTGGTCTTCTTTTACAAACTATATAGAGAAAAACTTGTTTGTGGGATGCCTTGCTCCTGTGTGACTTGATTGATCCCCTCTCAAGAATTGCATCGAAAGGAGAAGATACCGACGTCCAAAATAAATGGGATGACACACCTCAGTAATAGACTTAACCCCACCACACCCGGGAAGAAATCGAGAGGTAGCTTGACTGTTGTTTCGCTTCGTATCTATTCATCGTGTTTGTTTCCAGAATTGTATCGGAAGGAGAAAATACCGACGTCCAAAATAAATGGGATGACACACCTCAGTAATAGACTTTACCCCACCACGCCCGGGAAGAAATCGAGAGGTTATTTGACTGTTGTTTACGCTTCTTATCTATTCATCGTGTTTGTTTCCAGAATTGTATCGGAAGGAGAAAATACCGACGTCCAAAATAAATGGGATGACACACCTCACAGTAAAAGACTTAACCCCAACACACGGGGAAGAAATCGAGAAACTTGACTGTTGTCCACGCTTCTTATCTGTTCATCGTATTGGTTTCCTGAACTGTATCGAAAGGTGAAAATGCCGACGTCCAAAATAAATGGGATGACACACCTCAGTAATAGACTTAACCCCACCACACCCGGGAAGAAATCGAGAG